AAACGAAAAGAAGGTGAAAAGATGAAGAAACGAAAAAGGACTAACGAGAGCCTCTGGTGAAAGTGTTGTCGAGGCTGGTCCTGAAGTTGCCCATAATGACCCTGATACCCCTGTCGTTGAGCTGAGATTTGTTTGAGGTCAACATGTAATTGTGAGGAAGTTCCGAATCTTCAGGAAAGAAGTTGGAGTTCTTGTTCTCCCGAGTTCTAGTCCAGAAGTCTGCTTTGTCTCTATCATCTTTGAGATTGTGAATTGCCTCTGAGATAAGTTGTCTGGCTCTAAGTCCCCCTCCATCGGTTTGATTGCAGATGATTGGATGAGAGATGACCACCTTGCACTTTTGTGATGTTTCTCGGAGGATCTTTTCAGTGCTCTGGACAAAGGTGTTGATTAGAGAATCAATCGGTTGGCCATTCGTGATGTCATGAGCACCAAGGTGGATGTAAACTACGTCTGGGTTTTTGTTTGATATCTCCTCAGCAGTTTCACCCAAACAGGAGCTGAGCTCGTCCCAGCTGCGTTTGTAGATCATGGAGACATCATATCTCTTGGAGAACTCCTCTGACTTGAAACTCCGCATAGTTGAGTCACAAAGAAGGACCACTTTCTGTTTCTTCCGTGCTGATGATTTACTCAATCTTTTAGATCGATCAGATGAGTGTGTAGTGTTTCCATTTCTGGAACTGTTCCTGTGATCGGTGTTAATCCTCTCACTCCTTCTGTATGACTCTCTTTGGCCTCGCTCAGGAGGAAGACCGGGGATATCTCTGTTGGTCCTTGTCTTGCGCGGGGATCTCGGAACATAATTCTCATTCTGTTCGTGGGTCTCATTACTCGGCCTCTTTTGGTAATTACTCCGATTTGATGATTTTGATGATGTTAGGATGGCTAGAATCTCCTCAATTTTGTTGCTGTCCTCGCTTTTGAAGAAGCTATCATGCCATGCTTCTAAATCCCTTTTGATAGTCATAGTTTCGTTGAGGGTTCGAGTGAGGCCCTCTAAACTGCTTTGGGACTTTTCCAGAAGTAAGCTGGTATCTTGATTTGCTTTGGTTAGATTTTTCAAGAGGTCAACTCCGTTTGAACACGTTGTGGCGTTCTTGCAATCTCCCTTAGATTTATCAGCGGGCATCTTGGTAAGCTTTAGTTCATCCAGATCTTTTTGCACTTCTCCTAGAGCTGAGCTGATAGAAATATTTGATTTTTCGATCACTGCTAGTCTGTTATCGATCAGGCTCAGTTGTTCAGAGGACCCAGAGGTAGAAGTCTTGCGGATATACTGAGAGATTCTCTTTCTCCTAGCCTTTGGAGCACCTTCCGTACTAAGTTTCAGGAATTCAAGTTCTTTCAAGATATCACTGTTAGTTGCTTCGTCAAGGGATTTGATGTAACTTTCAATGCCCTGAAAGCAGCTGTCCGATGTGATTCTATCCGACTCTCGTATCTTCCTCTTGACGTTAACCTTAGGCCGGGTAGTAGATGCCCTTGACTTGAGAAAGTCCCCAGCGTTGGGCAGAGAGCTGGTAAAGTGGAAATCTGTCGGAGAAGTGCAGGTTTCTGGAATTGGGGCAGTCTTGGAGAGGTTCTCCTCGGGGGCATTGGTGATGTAAGAAGTTTCGCTTGCTTCTGTAAGGTATCGACACAACCTTTGCTTACAAATTGCTGCAGCACCGTCAATAGCCTGTTTGCACGCTGTGAGTTCCTCCTTAACTTCTTTGTGCTTCATTTTGTTGATCAGCACACTCACAGCAGCGTAGTTTGGACTATCATAGGGGTCTTCAAGTAATACTTTTGCTCGGGTCTTCATGTCTTCAAGCGAGTCCTTGCTGGATGTGTGTTGCTCTAGAGCATCAAGAAGCAATGTGAAGTCAGCCTTGGTGAAGTTATCGAGTGTTTGCTGATAGATATGAACCTGCCCAATTCTGTATCCAAGCTTGTTGGTAAACTGCGTTGGCCGGATACTGTTGTTGGGTAGATCTTTTCCGTCCCAGGTCAGGGATTGCTCGCGATAATCAGAGTCCGTAATAGAGCTGAAGAATAGGAGCCTATAGGATGGCTTGACAGCGTTTATTTGTAAGTCAAAACCCACTTCTGACCGTACTTGATAACGTTTCAGAGTATCGCTTGACAGGAAAATAGCCGCTCCGTGATCAGGTGATAGCCGTCCTACATCTAGATGACAAGGTCTCAGGTGCCTTTCGATCCCGAGATCTGATCTAATAAGCTTACGTGTTCACATAGCGTGCCGAAAAGGATACGATCCACTGCTCCTCAAGCATCGAGATCCGACCCAGGGCTCGAGATCTGAACCATGGCAGGCCCTCCCAAAGCGTCAGGAGTCACGAGATCTGAGTCAAGTAACCTGAGCCAAGTATCCAGCGTGCTAATGGTGCGTTCCATCAGCTTTGGAAGATATGAAACAGTGGAACTATAAGAACGCCCATCAAGATCCGTATCTACAAGGCTAACTTTCATTGGCTAGACGGACACGTTGTCAGAATGCCATAGACACAGTTTCCCAATTTTTTACTGGATTAGAAACCAAACTATGGAAAGAGACTGAGAGGACGACTCCGTAAAGGCTGGATGGCCTGTGTTCTCGAGGATGCGGCTGACAGGTGTCGATAACATCAGCAGAGACGCAGTAAAACAGTTAGCTCTAAAACGAGTGGAACACCGTAGAAGAGATGTGTGTGATGCAGGCCACTCCAACGACTGTATTAATATTTTACCGGGGTAAGCACAGGGCTCCAATGCTCTAAATTACAGTGGTCATGATCTATCCTATCTAGTAATAATGACCACAGTCCCCTGCGAAGAAGAAGAACCTAAAAATCCGATCGTTGGGTTCAGTTGTCGTATTTCCTTGGGTTCAGTTGTGATATGACCTGGGTTCAGTTGTCGTTTTGGGATTTAAGCTGATTGGTCACCCAATTAAGCTGATTGGGTGCCTGTTAACTGCGTGGGAACTAGGTTCAATTGGGTTCAGTTGTCTGCCACCCATCGATGCACCATATGGTAAAATCAAAAATGTAGGGTTTCTTTAGCTCAGGGTTCTTAACATGCTTGAGAAGTTGGAACTTACTCTGGTGCAACCCCACCGGGTTAACGATGAGGGGACAGATAGGAGTCATTTTAGGGCTTACGAAATAATTTCCACCGGTTTTTCGTCGAACTGAACATTAAATTATTTTATACTGAATAATAATATTAAGCTTTCTGTTGTGAGCCTCATCAGAAAGCTTAACAAAATTATTTTCTGATTGGACAAAAACCTACAATTGGGTATAGTTGACTGCTGCCAGTGTTTCTCTTTCCCAAACAAAAGTAAATGATATCAATTTGAACGACCGTCTGCAAATGCAATATGATAGTGATACCGAAATTGAGAATGAAATTGGTCGCTCAATTTTCCCATTCATTACGAATTGTAATAAGTCTACATCAATTACATGCTGTAAACTCTCTTTGGGTTGCTTTCGGGTTGCTACCTAGTATTTCGGGATAAGGGCGGTAGCCGGCATAGACTATTCCGGACACCCAAGTTTCTTCCACCACAAGCAAGCACTTTTGAGGAAGATGCAGCAACATGACCTAGTTCCGGAATACAACGCAGAGAACTCAGCAGTACGGAAGTACTTTCATATGATCGGTTCAGATGACCAACATTGCTGAGGGTTGGCACAACGGTTTTCGATTCATAGTAGAGCTGCAACAACCCTACTATCTGGCGATTTATCGACGTCCTGAAGAAGGAGCAGGATCTAACCCAGTGAAAGATCAACCAGAAGATGCTCAGACAACTACCTCCTAGCCGACATTGTAAACATTGTATTGCAATGATACATTTTTATTGAATATGTAAAAGTGTAAAGTTTATTGTCGCACTTTAGTTCGTGTCGCACTACGATCCAGGTAGCGTACTCTAGTGCGACAGTGTCAATCTTGAAGGCTTCGCACTAGGGTACGTGTCGCACTACAGTACGGGAACCCTAAAAAAATTAGACATCTAGCATGTTCGGGGAGAACAATATAAGTGTTTTAATATTGAATGGGCGTGGTCTAAAATATTCGAATTTTCAAATTTTGGTGACGGAATCCTCGAACCAGTAGGTACAGTAAACCATCTGCAAAGCAACAACCCTCAAATATAAAACACGGTGGAGGTATAAGACCCAACGTTTGCACACTGACTTTTGGCCCACCCTGTATATCAATGTTTATTTGTATGTGACTGATCGAAATTAAATCTACTTCCTAGCCTTCCATTTTCGTTCACATTGGATGATGATGTTTGTTGTATGTTTTTTCACAACTTGGTTACATGATAAGTGAACACTCCCTTGCCCTAAGGCTTGTTTGCTGTTGCAGTCTGCACAATGCATTTCACGCTCATTTTATGTATCATCAATCATGCACAGTTAATAATTTGTATTATTTGTAAAGTTTGTAGATTCCTCTACAGGGTCATCGAATAGTTCGACCGCCATTTTTTTACAGTACACTACATTGTAGATGTTCTGAAGGAGTATCCTAAGATTCTTGATCTTTTGGCACAGGCACCCCACCTCATTTAACCCTCAATCAAGTTTCCTATCATTCGGCTGAGTCGACCGAGGAACCGCATAGATCCAATGAATCCTTAGCTACCCCCTAGACTGAGTGACACTGGGATTCGAACCCTGAACTTTCTTTACAGAAGGCGGAAGCTCTAACCACTAGGCCACCCAGCCAAGTTGTATATATATATTTTTTTAATTTGCTGTCGTATGTTCATTGGATAATGGAGTAATTTTTTAACGATTTGTTTGTCTCAAGACTTTTTGGATTTAGCTTACATTTGAATTAAAAGTTATAGTAATTTATACAATAATTTTGCCTCAGATTTGTATTTATATCTTCAAGTTTTGATTTTTGGTTAAAAAATTTTAAGTACATGAATATGATGTAGTGATATTTCATATTGAAACGTTGAATATTTTCCTTTATCTGGAAAAAGCATTTTCACTCCTAGTCGTAGTATTATCAATTAAAACTATCGTGAAAATATTAACTTGATATTACTTTCATTCCCGAAGCCTGTATAAAGCAGATATAATGTCTTCAGAGGTGATCCAAAAGATCCTGTCAAGGCAGACTCAAAATTGCGTTCACGAAATTGAACTACAATTGAACTCCCGAGCTTTGAAACATCTGGACTCTCACGTAAGTTTTTGTTTAGATCTAAAGTACGAATTAAGACGGTAACTTTCTGAATTCTGTCGTTTATTTTCGGGTTACACCTTCATCATCATTTATACCTAGCTTTATAGTCGACATTCCTAGTTTTTTATTCGTTATAAAATCACATCCTAATTTTCACTCCGCTCCGATCGAAGTTCAAGATATATTTGACCACCACCTTCTTTAGGGTAGTACATTTTGTACAACAATCACAGCAGCCCCAATCCCAGTAAATCTAACGGATTATGAGAGCGGGGAACGATTACAGCCGGAACTTAATCTTGTTCTAGATAAACTTTCCAAGGACACAGATACTATTTTAGAGTATCTTTCTCCTGTCGCCAAGCATGACCCGCTCGCAAAAGGTAAAAACTGAAGCAACGTTAAAGAAACAGATTAAACGGATTCAAAATAAATGATTCAAAAGTCAAATTATATAGTAATGTCTGACCCAATGTGATTGTAAAAAGTAAGTTTACCCAAAAGTCCAAAATATACAAGAGAAATAAAAAAAGATTTCTCCTCACTGATCATACAATTGACTGAAAATCAGTTTCCGTATCAACTATTCGCCAATCAGCTTCCAGCTTGCCACTAAAATACGTATCGGTCTGCGGTAGCAAGTAATATTATTATACTACCACCTCCCAGGATTGCTTGGAATTTACAAAGATTTACCAAAATCCCACAAAGACAAGATCATACTATTACTCAACAGACACGATTTTATGTACGCAACTCAAGATCCTACTTCAGAAGAAGCGTATCTTAACGGACAATTCAAGTTGGTATGTTGATATGTTGATATTTTGGTATGTTGATATGTTGGTATGTTCAAGTTGGTATTTTGATATGTTGATATTTTGGTATGTTGATATATCGGTATGTTCAATTTTGTATGATGATATTATGTTGATATGTTCAAGCTGGTGTGCTCGAGTTGGTATGTTGATATGTTGATATGTTGGTATGTTGATATGTTGATATGTTCGAGCTGGTATTTTAGAGTTGGTATGTTGATATGTTGGTATGTTGATATGTTCGAGTTGGTTTGTTGCTTCCACTAAAATCTACATGTGTGTAGCTGTTTCTCAGTGCAATAATTAAGGATGTTTTGAATGGGTTAAGAGAGCAAACATCCTTTACCATATAGTACACACCGTAATATTATTCTGCAGGTTGAATTTAACTTAATAGCGTGTGGTCTTGGTCATTTAAGCGAAGGAGTTTATCACTACCACAGGAGTTTGTTGAACAAATTCAACGTTGACACATCCCATTTCAACTACAAAATCAACAATATCAAAGGTAACAAATATTCGTTAAGATATAAATTCAAATTTCCACTTGTGATAATTAGTACAGTCAAAAACGTCCTAATTTATGCCTTTGTTGGACAAAATCTCTGACTTTTGTCCGACAAAAAGACGTATTTGACTGTACTAAATAAGCTGCAGTTAATGTCCTGGCATTTAATTCTCATTGTAATGAAGTCGCAATAAGAAATTTAAACCATTTTTAGTAAAGTTCAACATATTCTTAATTAATGTAAGTTAACAACTGTATTAACAGTCATTTGATAAGGTTACAGTGAAGGTCTACGAACTGGTTACGAACTGTACAACACTAGGTACAAGTGTGGGAGGAAATGTATAGTTGCAATGGTGGACGATAAGGGACCGCAATTTCAGTACTACGACCAACAAGTAGGGCCTGTTAGAATTTTGGAGTTCTTAATCTTAATGAAGATTTTTATAAACAGTGAAATGCATTTCAGTATTTTTCATGATAATTATAACTGAGAACAAATCCTTTTAGCAGTATACCTATTTTAAAATAAACTAGTAGTAAACCCGCGATGGGGTGGCATGTGCCTCAATAAAATATTACAATCATTTATTATTATATCAATTTATCGTTAAATATTTCAAAAATATCAATAACGTATGGTTGATCCTTCACACTTGGTAAAATATATAAAAATAAAGTTAATCTACACTAAAGAATAAATAATCTATATTATATAAATCAACAATATTAAGTACTCCCCATCTTCTTGTAGTCATTTATCAAAGCGGTAGAAATCCAAGTAATTTTAGTACGCGGTGCGCAAGGAATTTCGTTTTTTTTTAAATGTGTAGGCAAGATAAGCCTAAGTGTGGCAGTAGTTGCAATGGTGGACGATTAGTATATGCCATTAATTTTGTTCCGATTTTAAACTATTCCATTTTGACGAGATGCTAAATTAATTAATTATTTTTTTGAGACTTTACTACATTTTTGATGAGAATTTTTGACATTTTCAAACTAACCATTGAAATTCTCAGATTATGTGACTGATTAAATGCTGAAGATAAAAGAAATATATTCATTTTGCTAAGATTATGTTTGCGTTTCATTGCTCAACAGCTGTTCGAAGGATCAAATTTAAGAAGTGTGGCAGTGAAAATTGAAAAATAAGTTGCAGAATAAATTGCAGTGACTGACTGTCAAATGCATTATCGCAGTTCATTTATTTGACTGCACTAACGTTTAGGATTCTTACAGCTGTTATATTTTGCTAATATTTTGTTTAAAAGTTGTAAAGGACAAAGTTCTTGTCCGTCCACGAAAGGTTTTCTAGGTCAAGTTTTTGTTTGTCCAGTAAGTAACGTACAATGTTGTCCTTGTATGAATTAATAAACTTATCTTGTAACTTAGGTACGTTGAAGGGAAGGATTTTATTTATTTCGTTTATCGTGTTGTTATATAATCGTGGTCCTACGTTAGAGACGCTATAATCGGTGATGCGTAATCTGTTGAACTTAATTTCAAAATACTTTGGATTTCTCCTTTCCGTTTGTCTAAGCGGTGATTTTTCAAATATACTACAGATACTCGATGGTGCTACTCCCATATAAACCTTGTGCATCAAAGTTAGACAGCTTTTTGCAATGAGATTAGGAAGAGCCAAAATTCCTATTTTGTTGAAGATGGATTAACTGAAGCTAGTAGAGGTTAATATCGTCTATTGTGGGTCCATCATGGATCACAATATACAGCAAATTTTTCTGTGATAAAAAAGAAAGTACTGAACATCCCCTGATTCCAGGCGCTACTGAATTGTCTGGAGACGTCAGGAGTTCCAACTGTCAGGTACACTGCAGGGTACCTGAACATCCCCTCATTCCAGGCGCTACTGAATTGTCTGGAGACGTCAGGAGTTCCAACTGTCAGGTACACGTCAGGTACACTTCAGGGTACCTGGTGGATAACGGCAGCGTACAGGATGGCCGCTACTTTGTGGATGATAGGGAGGTAGCTGTTCTCTACTTTAGGACCATGTACGATCCTGCTCATTACAAGTCTCCAGATTTCTGGAGAGCGAGGCGGGACATGGAGTTCAGTGCTGCTGTTAATGTGAGTTTGGAATTGGTTTATTACTGCACGGTTACAAATTCAGTCGCTAAATTTCCTCATCAGTTTGGGTTAGTTATCTAATTATGATGATTACATTTGTGATTTAATTTTAGGCGAATCTTAAATTGCTACAAAAAGTACAAATTTCTCCTCACATAACACTACGTTCAGGTACCATGTGTCAGACATCAGATAGTGAATATGAAGCTGTTCCAGATGCTTCTGTCTCAAAGGAATATTCTAGAAAAATACACATCATCTCCAGAGGCTACGGACGATATTCTTAGTTTGTTTTGTGAGACTTTAGCTCTGAACTTGAACGAGGAGGGTGATAAAAATGCACAATTAGGTTTCTATTCGCTGACGAACCCTTTGTAATTTTTTCAGTTAGCAACGGAAAATATTTTGGGATATGGTATAACGGACAACCTTTTTATCATAAGATAAGAAATACAACAGCGTGTGGTAATTTGCTGCTAAACTCATGAAGAATGCTTTTACAAGAAGCAATTTACACTTTACAGGCATTGAAAATCCGAACAAGTACGTACTGAAGCCCCAACGAGAAGGAGGAGGAAACAATCTGTGGGACCAGGAAATGAAGGAGAAGTTCCTCTCCCTGTCAGGAGACCCGGCCAGAGTTCAGTTTATTCTGATGAGGAGGATAACTCCCCCGTGCTGAACACCAAGTTCGTGAAACAGGGAGTCATGTCAGAGGAGCTGGGTACCGTATCTGAGGTTCGTACTTTTTAATTTGTTAAGGTTTTAAAAATACATTTAAAATACCCTAACGATCTAATGATATGATTCCTGTTTGGATACAACAATACTCCTCAAAATATTGCTAATAATAATTGCTAATTTGGTGTTATAGTTTGGGTACTGCTCAGTGTACTGTACTGCGGATAGTTCTGGAGACGTGATAAAGAGTGGGGTTGTAGGGCTGGCTATCAAGACGAAGGTGGTCTTTGTGTGGGAATTTCAGCCATGGACTCTCCGTATTTTGTAGAGAGCTCCTTATCATAGATTTATTATTTATTCTAACGAAAGTCAACTGTTGTAGTTATACAACTGTATGGAAGTTATTAAACTGTAAGGCCTATTCTCAGGTTTTTCGGCATTTTTACATATATTTAGAATCACAATATGATCCCATGACAATTTTGAAAGTTTTGTTTTGAAACATTTTAAAATTACTCCAACTATTCCTCTTAACTCCAAGACGTTGAAATTATGGTTGATAGAAAGAGGAATGGTTCAAAAGGTTTAAATTATTAAAGTTGTAATAACATTATTATTAATATTATATTATATCTTACAAAATTCTGAATTATTGAACATAATAACTGGTAACTCTAGCATTCTTATTGAGCTGGTAACTGGTAACTCAAACTGGTAACTCTAGCATTCTTAGTTAAGCTGTTGACTCTTTTACTCAGAATTTAGAATCTTCGCTGCGATGCTGGTGAATGATTCTGAAAAGAACAAACGTAAGCAATGCGTTAGGTAACCCTACTTAACAGTTGTAAAAAGTCCGCTTTCACGAAAATGGAATATTGAGCCAAAAGCTTTACAAGACAAACTTAGTTTACTGAATTTCTTTACTTAAATACGTTATCATGAGGCTTTGCCAACCTAACAGGGCGTAATTCAACATGTCATTGAACACCTACCAGATAAAGATACAAAGAATTTAGGTCTGTAATATCCTCTGACACAGACGAAATAAACTGGAACTCCAGCAAGAGTGAGTCCAGTCCAAAGTAAACACATTGACCAGTTAGTGATCCAAGGTATGATGAAAAGATAGACTCCCATCACGATTGTAGCGATAGGGTACAGTAGAGACACCTGGTGTGGGAGGGGTCAAATAAATGGCAAAAAGATAATCAACATTATCAACCTTGCAGTAAGAATCCGATAGAGGTTTAATAACACGATCTACAATCCAATACCCACAACTAGTTAACTAAAAGGTTTGAACTAACTTGTACAGGTCTCCAATACCCACAACTAGTTAACTAAAAGGTTTGAACTAACTTGTACAGGTCTCCAATACCCACAACTAGTTAACTAAAAGGTTTGAACTAACTTGTACAGGTCTCCAATACCCACAACTAGTTAACTAAAAGGTTTGAACTAACTTGTACAGGTCTCCAATACCCACAACTAGTTAACTAAAAGGTTTGAACTAACTTGTACAGGTCTCCAATACCCACAACTAGTTAACTAAAAGGTTTGAACTAACTTGTACAGGTCTCCAATACCCACAACTAGTTAACTAAAAGGTTTGAACTAACTTGTACAGGTCTCCAATACCCACAACTAGTTAACTAAAAGGTTTGAACTAACTTGTACAGGTCTCGGTAGATCAGGAAACTTTCTTCTCATCACGAGGAGTCCAACCGCACACAGGCTGGTGAAAGCAAAGCTGGTGAAGGAGGCGGTGTTGATTAACTTGAACACGTTCCCAAACGAAATGAATATCGTCGATGCTACCATCTGTATTATGATAGATCAGACAACCTTTTGGTTCAATTAATTAAGTCATATAGCATATAAATTGTAAAACTATTATTATATTTATTGACCGCTGCATGTTATCAACTATTTGATACAAATAGCACAACGTAAACTCTGGGTCTTTATAACGTTATTTTGGTTGATAGCACTTTAATTAAATAGTACACAACTGAAAATGTCTGGCCTCCAGCTCGCCATTTTTGAGATTCAAGCAAATCGATGATTTTCAAAGGGTGCAGGATGTTCAGTTCGACAAAATAACGGTGGAAATTATTTCGTAGGCCCTAAAACGACTCCTCCAGATCCAGCCTTAACCTCCAATTAGACGTAACTCACAAGCTGAAGTAGCTCTGATACGTCGGATTAGAACCTATAAGACTGGCCTCCAGCTCGACATTTTTTCTGATTCAAGCAATTCGAAGATGTTCAAACTTCAAAGGGTGCAAGATGTTTAGCTCGACAAAATACTGGTGGAAATTATTTCATAGGCCCTAAAACGACTCTTCCAGATCCAGTCTTAACCTTCAATTATACATAACTCACTAGCTGAAGACGAAGTAGCTCTGATACGTCGGATTAAAACGTGTAAGACTGACTTCAAGTTTGCGATTTTTGTGATTCAAGCAATTTGAGGACGTTCAAAGGTTGCAGGATGTTCAGATCGACAAAATAGCGATTAAAATTATTTCGTAGGCCTTAAAATGACTCCTCCAGATCCAGCCTTAACCTTAAACTGGACATATCACATATTGACATAACTCACTAGCCGAAGTACCTCTGATACGTCGGATTAGAACTTGTAAGACTTGCCTCCAGCTCGCCATTTTAAAGATTCAAGCAAATTGAGGATGATCAAACGTTAAAACACAACTTGAGTAGATCATACCACGTATAAAAGGGAGAACATTGGTGTCTTGAACCGCTTGTTGACGAGACCAAAGCAGCCGGGTAATATTCCACCTCTGCCACCAGCTTGGAGGAACCTGGGTAGTGGGTACGTGGATATGATGGGAGGGGGTTACTCAGAATTATTATTAATTATTATTATTATATCGGGTCTCAATAAGAGGTCTCGACTGCCTAGGCATCAAACCTTGGCAATCGGTAATTTTCCTCTGGCCCGGAGTCAGCTGACCCTAGGGACCAGAGGATAAAGACGTAGAGACTGTGTGTATCTACAAAAGTGGATGTTTTTACAAGAGACAGGGCTTGCAATGCAAGGGAAGAAAAATGGGCGAAACAATCATAAAGTGTATATTATATGAATTAACAAATAGAAATTCAAACAATCCTACACTACAAAAAATGTTTATTACATAGTTATAATATGTTGTATAAACAAGAAACAGGGCTTGCAGGGCAAGAGATTATTATTATTATTATTATTATCTCTCTGGACCAAATTCAAGGATTCGAGTATGATGAACAGACAAAATTGAAGGACAGTGTTACTAAGTGGTTCAATACGCTGGGAAAAGAACTGAAAATCGACGACAGAGATATTTGTGGAGATATGGACAGAGAAATATTTATGGCTCCAACTGTCTATAAAAAGCATCTGGCACTTCGGCTTGTGGAAGCAATAGACCTCGTTCAACGGCATGAATGCCAGATGGCTAAAATGGAGGAGATCATATATTTCTTGAAGACGGAAGCGTTAGAAGACAAGGATAAGTTGATCAGGCTGCAGGGCCAGCTGCTTGTGCAGAAGGACAAAGAACTAGAGTTGTTTAAGACGTCGGTTAAGAAGACAGTGCAAACAACGGTGGAGTCAGGGATTAAGAGCTACAGTGCAGCTGTACAACAGAACAGTGCAAGTGGTACGGTCTGCAACAGTAACATCCTGAAGAAGGTGATGAAGAGTGTGGCTGCAGAGGAGGACAGGAGCAAGAACCTGATTGTGTTTGAGTTGAAAGAAGAAGAGGGAGAACAGCTTCCAGCGCTAGTAACCGCAGTTCTGGAGGAGATTGGGGAGAAACCTCACTTCGAAGCGACTAGAGTCGGCAGGAAGAGGCCAGGTAGTACGACTATCCGACCAGTAAAGATCACTGTCCCAAGCTCTACAGCGGTTCAACAGATTCTGACGAAAACAGGAAGACTGAGGCTAGTTGAGACCCACAAAAATGTATGGATCTGTCCAGATAGATCTAGCGAAGAACGAGCAACGAGGAAACATCTGGTTACCGACCTGAAGAAGAAGAGGGTTGAACAGACTCACCTCGACCACTATATCCGGTACGGGAAAGTCTGTAGCCGTGATAAGAAACCACCGTGAAGCAATTCATGTCTCTCGGACACTGATCAGTATTTGAATGAGTATTGCGTATCTTAATAGTTTTCGGACGTTATCTGTATTTGAGAGACAATTTTATAATTTATATACGAGCTATTTCTTGATTGTTTCACACTTCATATTTCATAATTTGTTTCACACTTCATATTTCATAATTTTATTACTAGGTGGAGGTGACGTTATTGAGACTTTGGGCGGCCATAAACCTCGTGTTTTAAAAGTTGTCCTCTGTACTTGTTTCACTGACCCACGCTTTATAGCATTTATACATTTCGGCCCATTTTATATGTTTGTTCGATTTGCTGTACATTTGTATATTTGCTATTTTGTAAAAGTTTCAAATCAAATCAGCAGTATCACCTTAACTGTAAGGAGTCGATCAAGCGAACACGTATGCTGCTTTAAGAAAGCAAGTAATATATGAAAAGCCTTTTAATTTTGTTATGGAAATGATCTATGCTTGAAACCTGGAATTAACTGTAACATAGTTTTACCTGCTAGCTGCAAGAGAAGCACACATGGCGTTACCCAGGGTGGAGACAGCCACAGCTATAGCATAGAACACCTCTCCTGACTGTCCCATCTTTTTACCAGCTAGTTTCTGTTAAGAAAATACGGTGGCTTCAGCTATTTACATTTGACGTGGAGCTTATCAATGTTCAAATCAGTGTAATCAGAACGTGTTGTAGTCGTATGTTTGGATCGGAAAATAGGCCGGAAAAATGAGCGAAAATGCAGGATATCTGCAACTCACACTAGCAAGAGCTGAGCCAGACATCATGGTATCCATATCGAGTACAATGTGATAGGATGTGACCGCTAAGACGTACAGTATCGTCACTATCGTCATTGATATCGCCACTATTTTTGGCAGCATCCTGGGAAGATCCCCTGTTTAAAATCCCTCGGCTAAAATTCCTATTCCATTCACGCGAAATTTCTTTTCCATTCATGTGCCCCAAAAAAGTTGGTCTCTTTAAAACTTGAACCTGGGGTCCTTGACCTCGCCCAACATGACAGAAAGAGAGATCCAGCCATTGTAGGCCCACAGAACACTGTTCCAAGCTTCCCCCCATTCCTGTGGTTTCCAGCTTGTATTCTCAAATCCTACCGTTATGTTCTCCGTGTGTCCTAGTGGCAAGTTTGGGTTTATATATTTGCATTTATTCGTCTATAAATGTTACAGAAGTTTATTTTGAAATCCTTCACCCCACGATTAGTCGGTAATATTAATTATGGGTCTGATGTTCATGTGTAATCGAAATCGCTAAAAGATCTCTGTTTGAATTGAAAGTAATTTTGATGAAAGATTAGTGGTTACCATGGTTACCTGGGGTAGTGGGCTTCATTAAATTCACCTTGGCACAAATGGACGAAGCCAAGTATGATGATGAGAGCGAGGGACGCCATTTTAAAGAAGGTAACAGCGTCAATAATCTTAAGAGTAAGGTTCGGGTAGATAGTTATTAGGCTCATGATCGTCCCTGGTAGGATTTTGGAGGTTATTATTCAGAATTATTGAAAGTACAGATAAATGTAAACATTTCACAGTTCAGTATTCCATAGGTAAATAGTTTGAGATCGAAAATGAAACACATATTGTCCTGGGGTATCTACACGCCCTCAATATTAATCCTACAATCTATATGAATTAACTATGTTTTACTCACAGCATACAACAATGCAAAGGATCCTGTTGGCCCATTCCGGAACATCGTCAGCATTATCGTAGAAGACAGCCCAGAAATACTTCCCAAACGTCAGGAACCCTATTGCTCTGCCTAGCATAACTTTAAATTAGACTAGGACAATGAAATCTGCCATGTCTGGTGCGTACAATCTTGCACCCCGGTAACAGGTAACGTTAATTCAATTATAGGGGACTTGGCAGTAAAATTTAAAGTTTTATCTTCACTTCAAAGTAAATGTTTTTATCCTAAAGAATTCTAGTCCTAGTAATTTAGAAGTTAACGAACATCTACTTATACAAAAACTCAGAACCTTGAAACCATATGGTATTAATTCATGTGATCCTTTTGGTATGCCACTTTTATTTGAAAATAAAACTTTTGATAATGGTCCTTAAATTATTTCACCCTTAATGCAGGGACTAGTATATTTTTTCCGACTAGTTGGGGCCTCACAACCCCCCATACCCGAGTGCTTCCCATTCCATTTTTGAGAGTTTGGCTTCTTTTTACAGCTAACATCCTTTAGTTCAAATTAAAATTTTCTGATATAATTGGAGTATTAACCCTTATCTTTATTAGGTACTGAAGATGTCCGAAAATGTTTTACCAATGATGTTATAAAGATTTTGTTGGAATTTTTAAACTCATTCGTTGTCTGACTGTGGGAACTATTGATTCTTGATCAAAGTAAACCTATGCGAGTCTTTAAAGCCGAATAATCACATACTAAAAGTCTTCAATAAAAGAATAAACAGATAATATTTACTCACGAAGTCCCCCTAAAAGTACGTGTAGAAGATAACAGGACAGGAATGATAGAAGACCTCCAAACGCCTTTCTAAGATAAATCATCTGTCCACCATTTTTAGGTAACATCGTTCCAAGCTCCAGAAATGTAATAGCTCCTGGGGGGGGGGGGGGGGGGGGGGGGTTCATAGAATGTAATAGCTCCTGGGGGGGGGGGGGGGGGGTTCATAGAATGTAATAGCTCCTGGGGGGGGGGGGGGGGGGGGTTCATAGAATGTAATATTATATGAGCCATTAATTTAATCTAATAACTTAGAGATTTATATTCATGCAATTTAAATGCAAATAAAATGCGAATAAAAACATGCCTACCTATAGTAGAAAGGACACCACCTCCGAGCCAGATTAGTATTGACATGGCTGGGGAGCCGACACGCTTCGACACGCTGTTTGGGGAAACGAATATCCCTGCCCCAATGATCGTACCCACGATAATGCACACTCCTGAATGAACTAATGCTAAGCCCGTTGGGAGGGGGGTACAGTAGACTGAGCTCAATCAGGTACTAGCAATAAAAATGCAATATATGTTATGAATAGGTAAAAAATGCGCACGATCAGGTACTTTAAATACATACCGTGTAACACAGTGATGTTCTTGTCCATGGTTACCTTGGCACACCCACACCCACATCCCTTAGGACCGCAAGTACAAACTCCCACCTCGGCCTCTTTGTCCAGATCCTCATTTCCACCCTCCGTTTCAGCTGAAGAGACAGAATAAGGGGGAGGAGGGTCGGAGGGGGGGACAGCATCTTGGTTCGCAATCACCTCACATCTGAGCGATTGGTGAGTTATCGGAGGAACTTGAAACAAGAGGACTTTCTGTATGATCAATGACTCTTGTGAGAAGAGATTAATTTGAATTGGAATAGGAAAAAATTATCAGTACAACTACAAATAACTCAGGTAAATACTAAATATGTGTTTAATCACTTAACTGATTTTCAGACTGCATTTCGGTTTTCATAATGTACGCGGTCTTATCCGCTGATGGTTCCAAATCTTATTTACGTATTCGGTATTAACAACAACTTTGAACGAAGAAAAATGGGGCGTGCGAAGAGGCCCGAGATTGCTTAATGGCACAAACCGATAACGTTGTCACCAATTAATATCAGTGAAAATAAGATCACATGATGGCCCTACAAAACATATTGCGACATCATGTCGGTAAATATATCTAAATTCGATTACAAATATTAGTACTAAATAAAAAGATAAAGGACGGTAACAGCAGGTGCAAAACACGAAAGGATTAGCCTCCAATCTTTTTGTAATCGTTTTGTTGGAAAAATCTGCAGCTTCCAGCACAAAGTTGGCTTCATAGGATATGTAAGTGTCTCCTCTGCTGCCAATTTTATTGTTAAACATCGATAAGAAGATCAACGTCCAGAAAATTAGCAAATACTCTTTACAATCATTGAAACTCGATAATGAAAATCTCCGCCACCAGAGGTGAAAATTAAAAACTACTTTATCAACGAAGGTCTGCCTGGAACGGTCTAAGTCTAGGCTACATTAATAACAGAAATTCAACAAAGCGACTGATAAGAAACACAGATCATTCAAACTTTAACTGGAAATTGCCAGTGAAAATTGGTTGAGTAATCTTTAAGCCTAAAATTAAGAACGTTACATCAGAGGAAAATTCTAAAACGTAGAACATTCTGAATCGAGTTTGAATCCATCGATCCATATCAAATGATGTAAAACCTCCTACCGGAGTATCATGATTAGATTTAACAGAGCCATGAGTGATGAGCGATAAATAGCCGTTATCTCAGGGTTTTCTGATGTAATTGCTGTTACGGTCACGTACATCATGGTGAACCTAAAATATTAGTCAAAAACAGAAGTCACACAAACCAATGTATTAGTATAGACTGAAGTCTAATTTGGTACAAGCTCTTACCTCTAAAAACGATTGCCAGGTAACTTTAGTTGTACCAGTACGTAACAGTACCACGTAACTGTACCAGTACGTAACAGTACCACGTAACTGTACCAGTACGTAACAGTGCCACATAACTGTACCAGTACGTAACAGTGCCACATAACTGTACCAGTATGTAACAGTGCCACATAACTGTACCAGTACGTAACAGTACCACGTAACTGTACCAGTACGTAACAGTACCACGTAACTGTACCAATACATAACAGTACCAGTACGTAACAGTACCACGTTACTGTACCAGTACGTAACAGTGCCACATAACTGTACCAGTACGTAACAGTACCACGTTACTGTACCAGTACGTAACAGAACCACATAACTGTACCAGTACGTAACAGAACCACATAACTGTACCAGTACGTAACAGTACCACGTAACTGTACCAGTACGTAACAGTACCACGTAACTGTACCAGTACATAACTGTACCAGTACGTAACAGTACCACGTAACTGTACCAGTACGTAACAGTACCACGTAACTGTACCAGTACATAACAGTACCAGTACGTAACAGTACCACGTTACTGTACCAGTACGTAACAGTGCCACAAAATTGTACCAGTACGTAACAGTGCCACATAACTGTACCAGTACGTAACAGTACCACGTTACTGTACCAGTACGTAACAGTACCACATAACTGTACCAGTACGTAACAGTGCCACATAACTGTAACAGTACGTAACAGTACCACATAACTGTACCAGTACGTAACAGAACCACATAACTGTAACAGTACGTAACAGTACCACATAACTGTACCAGTACGTAACAGTGCCACATAACTGTAACAGTACGTAACAGTACCACATAACTGTACCAGTACGTAACAGTACCACATAATTGTACCAGTACGTAACAGTACCACGTTACTGCACCAGTACGTAACAGTACCACATAACTGTACCAGTACGTAACAGTGCCACATAACTGTAACAGTACGTAACAGTACCACATAACTGTACCAGTACGTAACAGAACCACATAACTGTAACAGTACGTAACAGTACCACATAACTGTACCAGTACGTAACAGAACCACATAACTGTACCAGTACGTAACAGTACCACATAACTGTACCATTATGTGACAGTACGCTTCTCTTCGCGTAGAGATTTTTTTTTAAATCTAGACACTTATTTTACTTCGGAGTATTCCAACAGCCATATTGTTACACAGGTGCAACCAGCCAATTTGACCATTGTTAATGATCTGGCCCGGCGCGCGCTACTTCGTAGCTCGTGCCGTCGAGCATTTCGAGAAGAAAGCGGCGCGCGCTACTTCGAAGAAATTTAGACGAGTAACATCCGTCAACCAGCCAATTACAGGAAGCCGAAGGATTTGTTTTTAGCCAGTGACGGTTAAGGTAGTGTGTACCATACTTTCTTCGCCCGAGACTTTGCTGCAATGTGCAGCTCCTCATTTAACCCTCACACCCGATTTCTCGAGAATTCGGCTGAGTAGACCGGGGGGCTGCATAGACCACTCACGATCCTTAGCTGAATGTCAACGACACTCACCCCACGACCAGGCAGGCAGTGGGATTTGAACCCGCAACCTCACGATTGCAAAGCTGGCTAACTTGACATACGTTGCATGCCACTTTTCGCGCGCGAAGCGCGCGCCGCCAAAACATACGAAACATACGAAACATACGAAACATGTATCAATGGCTAACCAACTGCGCTACCTGGCCATAAAATTTATTATTAGTGCAAGATTATATTAAGTGCAAGATTATATTAAGTGCAAGAAGCTTTAAAAGATTTAGCGCCGTGAATGTAGATTCAAAATTGGCATTCTAAGTACTGTGAAGTAAAAAGTTGCTTGCACTTATAGTTATACCGATGATGGTTAATCACTCGATCTACACTCGACTGTCACGTGACTTTTTCAACCCGTTCTTTAGCTGGCCCTGAACGAATATTCGAAACTTTAAGTTTAACCCTTTAATCTGATCTCAACCCTAATTCAATCTTTAACAAATGAAAAAGCATATGTTAAAACCCTACCTAGCTCTAATGAGAAATTAGATTTAATTCCTTATTTGATACATGTTACGTATTACAAATATCATTGCGCGAAAAGTGGCATGCAACGTATGTCACAGACAATTCCGGGTGGCAGACAACTGAACCCAATTGAACCTAGTTCCCACGCAGTTAACAGGCACCCAATCAGCTTAATTGGGTGACAAATCAGCTTAAATCCCAAAACGACAACTGAACCCAGGTCATATCACAACTGAACCCAAGGAAATACGACAACTGAACCCAACGATCGGATTTTTAGGTTCTTCTTCTTCGCAGGGGACTGTGGTCATTATTACTAGATAGGATAGATCATGACCACTGTAATTTAGAGCATTGGAGCCCTGTGCTTACCCCGGTAAAATATTAATACAGTCGTTGGAGTGGCCTGCATCACACACATCTCTTCTACGGTGTTCCACTCGTTTTAGAGCTAACTGTTTTACTGCGTCTCTGCTGATGTTATCGACACCTGTCAGCCGCATCCTCGAGAACACAGGCCATCCAGCCTTTACGGAGTCGTCCTCTCAGTCTCTTCCCATAGTTTGGTTTCTAATCCAGTAAAAAATTGGGAAACTGTGTCTATGGCATTCTGACAACGTGTCCGTCTAGCCAATGAAAGTTGCTCGCTTCAAAGATAGATCAACAGCACAGAAAGTGTTTAGAAATAGGAAAAGCACTAAAAACATTTCCCCAGATAAAAAGAAATTGCCATTTGAGAACCCCGAAAAGGGTGTCGGGGTACAGCCCAATATAACATATAAACGAGCGGCATTATTAGGGCAGGTCAACGATGCTGTCAGATTTGGTGGACTAAACTCTTGTTGGGTTGACTACAAGAATGGGAATGTTTTATTGAGAATGAATGCTAACGGTAATCCTAAGCTGATTAGGAATACTGCTGATTTGTTGATTTGTGTGCCTACTTTTGAACCTAAAGAGTTTTTGTTTTGTGAGAGCCCCTTTTTGAACAATACTGAATTCACACCGTGAGATGAATAATTCTAATACAACTATTTTTCAGATTTTAATATTTCTAACAGAGAGTTATGGATGACGGAGTTTCAAACATGAACCTTCCCAACATCCTCATTCCCTCTGACCGTAAGCATTGCGTCTTCTGTCATAAAATTTTGTACTTTCACCAATTCATTCTACGTTGCAACAACTGTAAGGACATATATCATGGATCTTGTTTAAAGCTAGACAATAGTACCATATTTATACTTCAGCAATTTGTATGGTATTGTAAAATATGCTATGACGATTATATTGAGTATTATAAGTGTGTGACATGTTTAACAAATATTGATATATTTAATGAAAAGATTGCACAGTGTAAACAA